GGAGGGTCAGAGAAATAGAGGAAGACCCCCAACGAGATGGATTGGCCAAGTGGAAGCATCGATGGACTCCAGCGTGGCAACAGTAGTGAGGTTGGCCCAGGATCAGGCAGTGTTTCATTCTGCTGTGCATAGGGTCGCTATGGGTCGGTACTGACTCGATGGCACCTAACAACAACATGGTTTTTTTGGGTGGAAAAATGGATAAATACAGCATGAAGTAGTGGAAAGAGCATAATGGTCTTAGAATCAGGCAACATGAAATCATACTCTGAGGCCAAAACTTCATAACGATAGGTACTACATCGAATCTTCCACTATTCATACAATACTGTGAATACTTTCCTTATCTAGAAAATATGGTTAACAATATCCACTTTGCTATCTCCCAAGTTTGTTTTGGAATAAAATGAGGATGCTTATATTTGTGAGAAAATATTGTTGAAATTTTAAGTTGCTATTAATTTCTTGTGTGGCGCTGGACTGTGAACCACAAGATCAGCAGTTCAAGCCCACTAGCTGCTCCTCGGTAACCCTATATAGGTTCTGACTCACAACATTAAAACATGGGCCACTGCTAATGTCAGGACTATCTTGGTATTGCTGGGGACTTTCTAGCAGTTGTTGTTGTTAAGAGCCGTCGAGTCGGTTCTAACTCATAGCAACCCTGTGTAGGGTTTCTGAGAAGCAACTGGTGGATTTAAACTGCCAACCTTGTGGTTGGCAATCCAGTGCTGATCACAGCACCACACCAGAAGTCCCTCTAGTGGTTAGCAATTTAACAGTAAGCAAGCTCTGCAACCTAAATTTTAAACAGGTTTCTACTCTTTGAAGACCAGCTTACCTTGATGGAGGGGAAGACTGTTCACTTCTTGGGATACGAATTCACAGACACAGACAAACAGCCTCTCTCCCTCTTTCAGACTGGGAATAGTCACAATTTCCACAAAACTGCTGGGGAACTGCCCTGAAAATAAAAGCAACATTTCCAAAATGGAATTTTTCATTTCCCCTCTGGCTGTGTACCGGGACAAAAAAAAAGTTTTTGGGAGCCCTTGCATAAAACTGAAAACAAAAACAACTTTTTATTATAGTTTGGGTGAAAGTTTACAGAGCAAATTAGTTTTCCACTCAACAACTGATACACATTTTGTTTCATGATGTTGGCTGCAATCCCCTGGATGTAACAACATTCTTCCCACATACACCCTGGGTTCCTGGTTTCCAGCCATCCATCTTGCCCTCTGGCCTCTGAGCTTTGGTTTGGAGCAAATGCTGACTTTTTGGTCTCATTCTGTTGAGGATCCCTGGTGGTGTGGTGGGTTAAGCATAGGACTGCTAACTGAAAGGTATGCAGTTCAAACCCACTAGCCACTCCACGGGAGAAAAATGAGACCATCTACTTCTGTAAAATTTAAAGCTTTAAACCTTCATTCAATTCACAACAAAAAGTAAACAAAACAAAACAAAACCTGGCAGTCTTACTCGGTCCCTATAAGGTTCATTATGAGTCACAGTCTGCTCAACAACAGTAGGTTTTTTTGTTTTGTCTTTTTTCAATGGTTGATTGTAACCACCTGCAGATTTTAAATGGAGCCCTCACTCAGTACTCCTAATTAGAGGTTCTTCTATGGTGGGGAAAAGATGGAAAATTAAATGCATGCAGAACACAGAAAATGCAACTCAATGAGCCTGCAAGGCACGCTACAGAGAGAAAAATGAGTAAGACCATCTTGACCCTCAAACACCTTACAATCTCATTCACACATAAAATCTGATTCAGACACACAATAATTTGATTCTGAAAGGAAACGTCACAACATAGGTACACAAATTGCTACAAGAGTTCAGAGAAGGTGGAGAAGGTCAGGAAGAACTGGAAAAAAATTATGGAAAAGTGACATTTATACAAGTCCCTAGAGATTGGTAGGGTTTCAATAGGTAGTGATAGAAAGACAGGGCTGACTAGTTGGAAAGAATATGAAAGGCTGGGATTCTCCGTTCTGATGATCTCTTGTAGCCATTCATCTCTAGTCCCATTGCCTTGTCCTGGTCATCATCACCTTTCAACTGGATTGCTGCAATAACTTACCAGCTGACGTCCTGACCTTCAGTTTTGCTGCCTCCTATCATTCTTGTAGGAGCTCTGGTAGCGTAGTGGTTACGAATCGGGTTGCGAACCTGTAGGTCAGCGGTTCAAAACTACCAGCTGTTCTGCGGGAGAAAGATGGGGCTTTCTGCTCCCGTAAAGATTTACACCCTCGGAAACCCTGTACAGGGTCGTTATGTGTCGGAATCGATTTGACAGCACTTAACAACAACATCATTTTTGTGGCATCCTGGTGTGGCACTGTGGGTTAATGCGCTGTACTGAAAAGTCGGTTTGAACTGGAAGTTGGCAGTTCAAGCTCACCAGTCACTCCTCAGAAACACTATATAGGGTAGCTACGGGTTGGAACCGACTCAACTGCACTTAACAACAACAACAACAACATCATTCTTGTACTTTGTTCAAGATCACAGAGTGCTGCGTGGCACTGGACTGCACCTGCAAGGTCGGCAGTTCAAACCTGCCAGTCACACTATGAGTGGAAACCGACTTGACGACACTTAACAACATCCTTCTTCATTGTCCCTGGGTGGCACAAATGGTGTGTGCTTGACTACTAACTTTTGAAAGGAAATAATCTATTCTACCAGGAAATAATGTATAAATTTCCAAATTTCCAAATGTGGGTTAAGTAACCCTTTTAAATGTGTCCATAGGACTCCTGATGTGGTGCTGTAGAATCAGCACTGGACTTCGATCCACAAGGTCGGCAGTTCAAAGTTCCAGGCTGCTCCTTGGAAACCCTATACAGAGTCACTATGAGTCAGAACTGACTCGACAGCACTTAACAATAGCAACATAGTACCCTCTCCTTCTTTTCTCATGGCACACGACATTCAGCAGTTCACTGACTGCCTTCGTTCTCGAAAGGAGTCAGCATGAGGAATAGAATTGTATCTGTCTTGATTATCATTATATTCCCTGGTGGGCAGTCAATAAGAGTGTGTTGAATGGATGAATAAACAGATGGAAAAGTCTGCTCTAAGGACTGTATAGCATTCTCCAATCCACACTTACATATATATAAATTATGGACTGGATTAACATAGGTACATACCATGTGGGAAAAACTCCCACTCTTCCCTAGGCTAATTAACGAAAGAAACCATCGTTAACATGTTTTAAAGAATCCATGAAAGAAGTAGAAGGTCGGCAGTATCTAGCATTGTTGTTGTTGTTGTTGTGTGTTGTCAGTCAGATGAGACTCAGTGTGACCCTGTATAGGGTTTCCGAGGAGCAGCTGGTGAGCTTGAACTGCCGATCATGCAGTCCAGAGCTCTAACCCGCAGCACCACACCAGAACTCCTGAGTAGATAATAGCTTTAAGGAATTTGGGCCAGCCAAGAATCTAGGAAGGAGTAAACAGGATTCATTTAATTTCACTGCCTGGATTTTGAATGAAAGAACCGAATCCAAACCCAAACCCACTGCCATCAAGTCCAGTTCCACTCACAGTGATCCTATGTGGGGTTTTCAAGGCCATAAATCTTTACTGAAGCACACAGCCTCATCTTTCTCCTGTGGAGCAGCTGGTGGGTTTGAACTACCAACGTGTGGTTAGCAACCCAATGTCTAACCACCAGGGCTCTTTAAGAATGAAAGAAAAGGTGGAAAAAGAGTTCAAACGAAGTGGAGAGTACCTATGTCCTATATGACTCAGGTAACAGACCGTGAAACACAATGGTAGACCAACAGGCTGTCCCAAACAGCCTATTATAAATAACTGTCTATTATGCTTGTGTGCCGTGGAGTCAGTTCTGACTCACAGTGACCCTGTGTAGAGTTTCCCAGGAGTAGCTGGTAGGTTTGAACTCCTGACCTTGTGGTTCAAAGTCCAGTGCTGATCCTACAGCACCACACCAAGAGTGGATAAAGACCAGAAAAGGGGAAGGAAATGGAAGAGAGAGATGTGAACAGAAAACTGGGCTGGGGGAGCTGGTTTCTAACCATTCATTGTTTTGAAGGAACCAGTAAGGAGAGGTAGAAGGACACACAGAAATTCTCTCCTGACTGGCAGAGACCACAGTATGAATCTATAAGGAAAACACAAAAGGATGCTGAAGCTTGCAGACTTGGACTTCCCATTTAACTTTTGTTCTTAATACAGAAAGAAGAGAGGGGCTGTGGTCCATTTTATACATGGGGTATCACAGACATCTTACCTGTCACATCCTCTTTCTTTCCCAGAAGCCAAAATTCATCAACCACTGCCAGCACCTCAATAATATCTCCCACAAAGAGGGGCAGCTCTTCAGATACACTCGGGCAGAAGTCGAAGATCGCTCGCACCACCGAGCCTGCTTCCATGATTCATACCCTGGAGAGAACAGCAAGAGGAACAAGAAAGCACAAAGACATAAGACAGCTGTAATACAAACCTGTTTCTTCAGAATGACAGAGCTCAAGATACGGAGATATTTATAAGGAAGGGAAAGCTAGGCAAATAAAAATTTGTACTTAAAAAAACAAAAACCCAGCACTTTCTCATTTATTTCTTTGTATTTTAATAATTAAGTTTCTGGTTGAAAATACACACGGGGAAACATGCACCAATTTAAGAATCCCTACAACAAGGAGCTCTGGTAGC